GTGACTTTAGGTTTAGCCGCTGTTAGCAATATTCTAGCAATATCACGGCAAGGGACAGCAGAAATGGGCTTCACATATTGTATTCATGTGGGAAATCGAACCCGGGTCTTCGGCGTGACGAGCGAACGCTTTAGCCACTAGGCTACCACTCCGCACCGTAATGTTTGTAAAATATCATGGGTATTGATTCCTTCCTGCTTTGTTTGATGTTCTCATTCAACGAAAAATAACGAAATGCATTTCATTGTAAATACATCGTGTTTGCCAATGTCTTTGGCATGTATTGACCAGCGTCCGGTCATAGGTAATTCAGGATTGCGAATAGCTGGTAAAGTTAGTTGCATGTTCTGTTCATATCAGTATTGACAATTGCTAATATCGAAACGTTTTAACTCCGAATGTATACAAGTTAGGGCAACAACAATTAACACATATTGGTATAGCGCGCCCCGGGGGGTCGAACCAGCGACCAAAGATCATAATTCGTCTTTGTTAAAGACTTACTGCTGCCGAGAGAACGCTAAACAAAAAACAAATAGGCTGAGGGCTGTCCATGATCCACCTATGGCGGTAGGTAGCCCGGTGGTTAAAGCGTAAGCCGTTCACGCCGATAGCTAGGGTTCAATTCTACTCAGGGATACAATGAGTGAAGACTAATCTCGGTGGCTTCTATCGTGATATTGCTATCACTCGTGGCGAGTTATGTTTGATTTTCTGATCCAATCCCTTACCAACTGCTAAAATGAAAATTCAATTAATCCATACAATTAAAATTCGCAACAAAAAAAAACCCACACCCAAAAACAACAAACACACACACACACACACACACACACACACACACACACACACACACACACACACACACACACACACACACACACACACACACACACACACACACACACACACACACACACACACACACACACACACACCACCACCACCACCACCATCCCCACACCTCAAAAAAATAAATCCAAAACAAACAGATTGCTTAAGGAGGGATAAAATGGTTACAGGCCGGGAGAGCCACATTTTCGAAACAGATAGCCTGAATTGATGTGGCTCTCCAGGCAATAGTTACGGTTGCGTGAACATGGAATGTGTCTCTCCTGGCTATGCTGTCAAAGCATGCTTAGTGATTCAAACGCGTAACCGTATTCAACAAAACAAGACATGTTTCCTCATAATTTTATTCAGATCACAACAGGTTTTGTTTCTATGTTTAGCACAATATTATATACTAATAGGTATATTACATATAATAATATCACATAATTGAACGTGTTCATCTTAAATTAGCTACCGGTGTTAGATATAACACCCCGAACTTTATGGTTTATGGAGAACTTGGAAGACAACCTATTCAGCTCCTAATCTCTAAACGGTTAATTACGTATTGGTGCAAATTGAAATTTTCCCATCCAAACAACAAAACAGCAGCTTTCATGCTAGATTATATTATGGATGATGCTCCCTGGCTAAATCACGTGAAACATTTACCGGATGTATTTGTAAACCCCATTTCATTGTACTCAATCCTGGATCATATCAAAATCTGAATCAATCCTGAAAGAACAGTTTTTACAATCGTGGACCAGTGAAATGAATAATTCATCTAAAGGACAATATTATAAGATTTTTAAAAACTCACCTTAACTCGACAAATACTTACAGCTATCTGAAAATATTTGGAAACCTATTTGTATATCTTAAAACATCTAACCGTAAATTGCCAATAGAAAGTGGGAGATGGACGAATCTCGCAAGAAAAGAAGAGTATGTAACCTTTGTAACCTTTGTAACTCGCAGTTAACTGGGGATGAATTCCATTATCTCTTTAGATGTTCATATTTTAGCCAACAACGCATCACTCACCTAGAAGATAGCTCTTGTTCCTTCCCTACTCTCTCTTGTGAGTAAGAACGATTATTCGTTTCTTGTGAAAACAATATTATACATGGGGACACTCTTTTACCGGTTACGGTAATCCATTAATTAATTAATCTATTGGAAATGTGGCTTTACCGGCTACAGCCATGTAACTGAAATATGGCCTTCCCGGCAATAGTCATTTTTGAAATGTGGCTTTCCCGGCCTGTCACCGATGAGATGAAATCTGTCACATAACCTGAACCTGTCACGCTCAAAAATTATGTATGAACAACATAAGCCAGTATTCGGGACGCGAACGTCAACACCATTCTGTCTGTCCATTCAAAAACAGTTTACGAGCCACACGTAGCTAACATGTAATATATCTGATATGAACAAGCCCCGCAACCAGCACAGTCATAGTATACGCAAAACAAACGCCCCGACCGGGTATAAATAAGATGAACTTGAACGAAGACAGTCACTAAACTGATGGTGTGGACAGGTATTCATGGAACCTTGAGATCTATGTATGTGAACGGTTACAAACAGTGAGTATTGAAACCATGTGTTTATGTGTCTGTATTAAGTGGCTTGTAATCTTTAATGTGTTTTCGTCTATCTGATAACGAGATGAATAGGTCAATTATTTTTGTTATTTCTATTTTGTTCTATTTTCCACATTTATTCTGCTAATTAACATTATTAATAAAATCGGGTGGTAAATGTATAAGGTATACAGATTATCTCACGTTTTCGGATAACGTATAAACCAATTTAACATACATGTGTATATTTGTAGTATCAAGAAACACAAAGTTAATGCATGTAACACGTTTCTACGTCATCCACAGATAACATGACGTCATTTAACAAGCGGGGACATTGTTATTACGTAATAGTGTTATTTCTCTGTTTCTTGCCTCAAAACAGAATATTTGCAAAACATTCCATTGTACAGGGTTATCTATATGTAATTTCCACTCAAACACATGTTTAAATTCCCATGAAAGCCATGTGTTTCTATCCCATTCGAAAAAAACCCGATTGAGTTTGTAGCCCACTACACAGCGAACATTCACGCTTGTCCGTTAGCACGAGACTTCTGAAATGTTTTTGCACGCACATGGGCCACCGGCTCTATGTGCAGGTACAGAGCGTGGTAGTCACTGTTTCGCAGGGGTCCTGATTACAAACATCACTAAATTGTACTTTGACAATGTATGACGGTATTTATCGTAGGCAAGACGATGCATTCAATACAAGATGTTGCTATACAACAGGTATTTCTTTGAAAAAGGGTTTACGTTTCATTCAATCGAGGAATACGTGTTATGCAAGCTCTCTACAGATATTAAAAAGTAGGTTTGTTACTGAAAATAATGAAAACAATTTGTCAGTCAGTTGGAAACATTGTGGAATAGTGAGTGAGTGAGTTGGGTTTTAGCAATATTCCAGCAATATCATGGCGGGGGACACCAGAAATGGGCATCACACATTGTTACCATGTGGGGAATCGAACCCGGGCCTTACGCGTGACCAGTGTGCGAAATGGTTTCCAACTTTTGCTAGCCAGTCGAGCTAGCTAAACCTGAAAGTTACTAGTCAACAAAATAATTAACTAGCCCAAAATTTGAATGTAAAAACTAAGCAAAAGATTACAAAAATAGATGAGAATAAGATATTGTCGGCATGGCACGGGTTTCATCATTAAGCTGCTAATATAGTGAACATGTTTATCAGGCCATAATAGTGCATGATTTCAAAGTGTTTTATAGCTTTACAAGTCAGAGAGAGCGACATATTTGCAAAATTACCACATGAAAATTCACTAGCCAGTCGGGCCAGTGACTGTGGAGGTTTTCTGGCCCGACTGGATTTGTATTAGCCACGGGCTTGCGGGCCAGTGGCTATTTCGGACACTGTGCGTGACCCATTATCGAATAAGACTGGAGCGCATATCTGAATAGGCAAACTAAACAAAGTTGAATTCACCTTCTGCTCGTGGTATTTTGTGATATTTCTATTAGAAGACTGATCCGACCAATTTTACGATATTAAATTTAAATATTTTGAAATAAATAAATATAACGATTATAATACAGAAAGTTAACTTTTATGGAAAAACAATTCAAGCTTTGAGCAACGTTGGATCTTTTCATGACAAACTGGAGTCTCAGTTGATTAAACTGGTATAAGAATGTATCAATACTCCTACACCCTTTTGGATACAGGCCTATGCAGGTCCAGATTAGACCCGTGAAGGTCCGGGTTAGAATTGATCTTCAGTAACCCATGCTTGTCGTTAGAGGTGACTAGCGGGATCGGGTGGTGGTCAGGCTCGCTGACTTGGTTGACACATGTCATCGTATCCCAATTGCGTAGATCGATACTCATGCTGTTGATCACTGGATTGTCTGGTCCAGACTCGATTATGTACAGACCGCCGCCATATCGCTGGAATATTGTCAAGTGCGGCATTAAACAATAAACCAACCAACCAACCAGAAGAGACGAGGAATGATTTTATCTATTTATATGCTCAGCAAACACCTCCTTTTCTGTTGTTTTTGTTTTGTTTTTTGTTTTGTTTTTGTTATTGTTTTATTGCATTCTTGTGAAATTAGTCTAAAATGAAATCTTACGATCTTTAGATAATGAGATAGTTTATCATATTTTCACAATTTAGCAGGGAACTTCTACATTGTGCTATGGACAGTCACACGTAAAAGTAGAACAAGAGTCATAATAGGCTAGTCGCATATGTGAGGCTTGATTCTGTAAACATCCTCCCACCTTAATATATATTTCAATAAATAAAATATTGTCATGTCACGAGATTCCATGATGCCCGAAACACACCTTAATCCGGTTACATGGAAACACAAACTAAACTGTATTTAATATGCTTTGTCCAGAAACGACATGACATTATGAATACATTAACACTATAGCTAGGGGCATCAGGTTAAATCTAGGCAGTAGAAACGTTCCCTCAATGTGTTCATATGATAATTAGGTTAGGTCTAAGCTAAACAATCATCTACGTATCAAAACAATTACACGTTACAAGATTATTCATTCAATATTATGAACGTGTGAAGACAAGATGACAGTCTAGGCAAGTGCTCCAACCAACCCTCGCTAGCCAATACCAGTCAAGCTTTGCAGCATGACGTCACCCTTCGCATGTATTTGGAGAACTGTGAGAGAAAAACGCTCGCCGTAGAAGACGTGATGAACCATCTTTTGTGACAGACAATGGAAATTAATCAAACAAGGTTAGTTCATTCGTTCTGAATCTTTGAATGTCACATCTTTTAATTTGATCATAACCTTTTCTAATAGCTGAATGTCAAGAAAAATCACGCACTGTGTGTATCCGCGCGTTGCCAGCCTTTCCACGTGCGAGAGGGTTGGTAAAAACATGCCGCGCGAACCTTCTCTCACCTACACGCGATCTCGTAGCTCGTGAGCTCTCCCATGCCGTCAATGGCGACATAGCGCCACGAGTGTCCTTTTGAATTGTTTTCTCTTGATTTGAAAGGGTTACAAATAAGTATTGAAATCGCGGAAGTGATAGATTTCATCACTCGTGGCGGGAATATGAGTTGGCTATGCATCGTGTGATGCAACTTGCACCTCGTGGATGGCCTACATTGCACGAGACTCTAGCATAAGACATGGGTGTGTGTGTCTATTCACCATACACTGCTATATTTCAAGATCGTATCGACTATACGTCCACCATTATCGTCTCTATTGTGTTTGTTTACTTGACCGCGCATATTTGGTCACGTGACTCGCTAAGGTCGTTGACATGGTCAAAAGGGGACGATGCCCACCCCCTCATTCGGACCGGCGTCTCATAAATATTTCAGTGGTGTCAAGAGGATGGCAAGATTGGATATGGATTTAGCAATAACTTATTAACAATTGTTCAAATGTTATGGTTGTCATCGTGTCAGAAAATATATAATGGTTATAACAGTAGTTTATGTGAATTTCAAACTGAAAGGTACTGTGAGCGTCTTTCAAACTGAAAGGTACTGTGAGCGTCTGGACAGTTTGTTAATCCATCAATGCATTAATCCACCAGTTCGTAATAAGAATATAAAAATCAGGTCTGAAGGCTGAGCTCATTTTTACTGAAAACCAATTTAAGTGCACTGATTGGCTGATCAGAAACTTCAGACAATGCTACAATGCCTCGCATTAAGGGGCATTGTGTTCAAGTAAAAGCTCTGATTTTAATGAGCTTTATTAAGTGAGTGAGTGAGGTTTTAAGCCACTTTGGGCAGTATTTTAGTAATAACACGGCTGGGGGACACCTGAAATGGGGATCAAACCAGGCTCATCAGCATGGTGAGCGAACACTTTTCCCACCAGGCTACCCCACAACCCCTTACTGGTTAGTAGTCAACAGGTCTTCAGGGTTGGGACAGTCTGCAATAAACTTTGCTTGTCATAGAGACGATGCCATGGATTGTGTTTTTTATTGGATTGTGTGGTCAACACTCAGTCGTTTCCAGACTGCTGTAATACCACTTAACTATGGCTGACCGTAGTTAGAAACATTTACCAAACAACAAACAATACTGTCATTCTTCTTGTAAACGTTGACACAAATGTAGATTTAGGGTCAACAATAGACTAAGACTTAGCCTCTGAATATATATAATTTTGATAGTAACAAACAAGCCCATTTATATTGAAAAGGAGCCCTAGGGAGACCAGAGATTCAGAGGAAATCTAGACTTGCTTTATTTAGGGCTTTAGCCCTGCAGAGAGGGCTTGGCAGTAGGGAAATTAATGTGGTTCAGGGATTGTGAGACAGACTAGGTCAACAACTGCCATCAGATACAAGTTTGACTAAAAAACGGGCAAATCATGAGCAGGTAATTGGATCCATTTTCCAAATCCAAGGGGGGACTATAATTTGGGGGATCCAGGTCATATATGGGGATGCATGGGTGACTACATTTGGCATGCTTCACTTGGTTTTCATATCGGAGACCCGGGTTCGATTTCTTCTTTAGTATAATGTGTGGAGTCCATTTCAGGTGTCCCTGCTTTGATATTGCTGGAATATTGCTAAGAGCGGCGTAAAACCAAACTCACTCACTCACTCACTCCTACATTAAACTTACATGCTGTGATTTAACTGGGATACTGTTCAAACTGGCGCAAAACCCAACTCACTCACTCACCCACTTATTACTATAATTAACTGACTGAAAATGTGAAATACTGTTCCCACTCGCACTTTGGAACAACCCAGTTAGCATTTGGACATTTGCCCCACGTTGGCAATGTTGGCAAAACCATTGCCAACGTTGGGCCAACGTCTGAATGCTATCTGGGAATGACTGGTATAAGTCCCACTATCAAGCCTAGCATCAACACAGGTAACGTTAGATAACATTTTCTTTGTGATTGGTAAACAAAGATTTAGTACAGCTTATGTAGGCCAAAGTTGAACATGGCAAATGCCAGTTGTGATAAGTGAGACAGGTATGTTATATAAAACTGAAAGATCAAGCGATAAGGATCACGTGTAAGGGTCAAGGCCATGAGAACTTTGAGCATGATGTCATCATGTTCACAATCTGTTAACGTCTCAGACATTCATTTGGTGTTCACACCACTCTAGGACCTTCAACAGCAAGCATGTGTCCGGCAAGGTGGGTGATTAACTCTAGCAGCTATCTTGGTCTGTCTCAGGCAACACAGTGGAGGGTTCCATCTGTCCCAGGATAGCTAATTAAATGTGTATATTTGGTTTTAGAGAACTTTCAACAGTCACCTGTAAGTCTAAATTACTTGTATCAATTCAAAAATTGTATGATAATTGGATTCATAGAGAATACTAAACGATGTCCAGTGTAATACCATATTTATGAAACAAGTGAATGGTTTGGTATATAACGAGCAAAAGCAATTTTGAGCAAAGTACTTCTTTCCTAAGAATTCAACAAGTGTGATGACTCTCAGCTTTCCGTGAGTCAAGCAAGGCCTAATTCTTTTGTGACAGAGGTATTAGCATTGTGACGTCATAACTGTAAATCACTTTGACGTCATACGTACGGCATCGCATGATGCTATTACACAATGTGTAATAACATTGTAAAATTATGAAACAGTGATATCTTCAATGGGGGAGGAATAAAATCTCTTCTCTTTCCCTTGGAGACTCAAATGTCTTTTTCACTGTCTTGTGCACTGCATCCCTACAAGGTGCAAGGTATAATGGTGGAATGTATATATTAGGGCTGTGATGTTGCATCAAAACTAACGATGGATTGCAGTTGTTGAGTCTCTGATAGCAAAACTATCGATGGATTGCAGTTGTTGACTCTCTGATAGCAATTAATCAAAATTAGAAACAAAAAACTATCAATGCATCGATAGTATGTGTGACTATCGACAGTTTAATAATTGACTTCCGTTGATAAATGCGCAGCGCAAAATACAGGATGTCTGGGTGTAGACTTGCAGCTTCATTGAGTTTTAACTGTTTACTTGAAGTTTCTTATCAGTTATTAAAAGAGACTGAAACTACTTTAATTTGTTTATGATTTATATAAACTATACATTCATTTGGGAAATGACATCAAATGATACAATTCAGGGAGTAAAAAACTATTGCAATAGTTGGTCGTAATAGTATGTTGCAAGACTATCACTATGGCAATAGTTGTTTTCCCTCAATAGTCCGTTTGGTTTCATTTGAGACCAATGAATTGTTCACTAACACAAACTGTAATGATTACAATAAAACCAAATTTTGCACAGTCACATGGAATTGACAGACCAACTCTGATGATTTGTCTCAAAATTTTGTACGCCCAAATAAAAAAGTTGTTTTACAAACAATCATTATTTTCTTGTCGCTTTTCGCTTTTTCTTATGAGGGAGGGCCACTTGCAGGTAGAACAGTCAGGTGAAGCGAGTTGTACGTGTGAAATTGAAATTTCACTTCACATGCTTGTTGATTACCTGGCTGATCTACCAGCAAGTGGTCCCCCTTCGTAACAAATAGCGAAAACTGACAACAAAATAATGATGGTTTGTTAAGCAACTTTGTTATTCAGGTTTCCAAAATTATGAGACAAATCATCAGAGTGGTCTGTGGATTTCATGTAACTGTGCTAAATTTGGTTTTGTTGCAATTATTACATTTTGTGTTAGTGAGCAATTCATCGGTCTAAAATGAAATCAAACAGACTGTAGTATATATGGCCCTGTCTAAGTGAGGATGAGACAAGTCATGAGGAAGTTATCAGCTGGTATGTTATGTCAGTAGTGTTAAACACTCTCACATGGTAACACAATCTGGGCATTCCGCCATGATAACCTCGCCGAAATGGCGTAGTAAGTTCAAAGAAGCTGTCTTTAATATTGCCAGATAGTTGATGTGATGTAGAGGTGGGAAGTCACCTTGAGGTATGTCCTACAGACGTTTCATTGTTCGGTGGGATACACATCTAGCTTGGCTGACATTTCACGGCTTCCTATCAATCAACAGGATGTATGGCAGTGGGCCTGAGTTATACTTGTCAGCTTAAAGGTCATTGTATATGAAAGAAGGACTTCTATGTGAAATGGGCAGCACCCTGACTGATGCTCTTGTAAAGAGCGTCTTGCAGGGAATTAGAAGAGTGTAGCTCTGACCAATCAAAATATTTTGTGGGGGCGGGAGTGTGGAATTTTATGAATGCGTTTTTTAGTCAGTTTTAAAACACTATTTCTTCTCTGAAGGAGCTAGGAAATATTCTTTTTGTCTTTTTTTTCAACAACTTCATGACCAGCATTATATTTGTTAGGTTGTTGTTTGTCATCCATTGTTATCTTTTACACATAATCAACCTCTCTGAAACCACAAGACCTTTGAGGCTGAACTTTGCATGAGTGAGTTTATTATTACGCCACACTTGGCAATATTCCAGCTCTATGGTGGCAGCCTGTAAATAATCGAGTCTGAACCAGACAATCCAGTGATCAACAGCCTGAGCATCAATCTACGCAATTGGGATACGATGACATGTGTCAACCAAGTCAGCGAGCCTGACCACCACCCGATCCCGTTAGTCAGCCTCTTATGCCAAGCATGGGTTACTGAAAATCAATTCTAGTCCAGATCTTCATGGGTCAAACTTTGCATGAATGATCCCAGCTATGGTGTCTCTGGTCCAAAGTTAAACAAACATTTTTGCTCATTAAACTGAGTGTCTTTCCACTGCAAGCAGACATTGTCTCATATAACTGACATACTGTTGAA